GCTATGTGGGCTGTCTTTTGGTTCCATATGAAGTTTGAAGTGGTGTTTTCCAGTTCTGTGAAGAAGGTCATCAGTAGCTTGATGGGGATAGCATTGATTCTATAAATTACTTTGGGCAGTATGGCCATTTTCACGATGTTGATTCTTCCCAACCATGAGCATGGAATGTTTTTCCATCTGTTTGTGTCCTCTCTTATTACATTGAGCAGTGCTTTGTAGTTCTCCTCAAAGAGGTCCCTTACATTCCTTGTAAGTTGTATTCCTAGGTATTTATTGTCTTTGTGGCAGTTGTGAATGGGAGTTCACTTTTGATTTGGCTCTCTGTCTGTTATTGATGTATAGAAATGCTTGTGATTTCTGCACATTGATTTTGTATCCTGAGACTTTGCTGAAATTGCTTATCAGTTTCAGGAGATTTTAGGCTGAGATGATGGGATCTTCTAAACGTACAATCATGTCATCTGCAAATAGAGACAAGTTGGCTTCCTCTTTTCCTAATTGAATACCCTTTATTTCTTTTTCTTGCCTGATTGCTCTGGCCAGAACTTCCAATACTGTATTGAATATAAGTGGTGAGACAGGGTATCCTTGTCTTGTGCCAGATTTCAAAGGGAATGCTTCCAGTTTTTGCCCATTCTGTGTGATATTGGCTGTGGGTTTGTTGTAAATAGCTTTTATTATTTTGTGATATTGAGGGTTTTTAGCATAAAGGGCTGTTGAATTTTGTCAAAGGCCTTCAATGCATCTATTGAGATGATCATGTGGTTTTGTCTTTGGTTCTGTTTATGTGGTGAACTACGTTTATAGACTTGCATATGTTGAACCAGCCTTGCATCCCCAGGATGAAGGCTACTTGATCATGATGAATAAGCTTTTTGATTTGCTCTTGCATTCTGTTTGCCAGTATTTTATTGAAGATTTTTGCGTCAATGTTCATAATGGATAATGGCCTGAAGTTTTCTTTTTTAGTTGCGCCTCTGCCCGGTTTTGGTATTAGGATGATGTTGGTCTCTTAAAATGAGTTAGGGAGGATTCCCTCTTTTTGTCTTGTTCGGAATAGTTTCAGAAGGAATGGTACCAGCTCCTCTTTGTATGTCATTCAAAATTTCCATGGGACCTCAAGTTAATTGAAAGGATCAGCTCCATAACGATTGCCAGCATAAAACAATCTATGCTAAGGCCAGCTCTGTACAGCTACCACCTCACACCATCTCTCACTGCCCACTCCTGTTTTCTCACCCCGCATTGCAGCACTTTCTTTCTCTTCTGTCCGCTCTTCCTTGCTTCCAGCACTCCTTCCTATACTGAAATCAACTAGACCAAATATTTAGATAGAGATTTATCTTGGCTAACCAACATGGACTAATTTTACATTGGAACAAAATATCATTAACCATTATGCAAACACAGTGGTTGTATGATATAAGAAAAAGCCTTCTGTACTTCTGAAGATTTGCTTTTACCTCACTGAAAAACCTGTTGGCTGGGCATGGTGGCTCACACCTGTAATCCCAGCACCTTGGGAGGCCAAGATGGGAGAGTCACTTGTGTCCAGAAGTTTGAGACCAGCCTGGGCCACATAGTGAGACCTTGTCTCTACAAAACATCAAAAATTTGGCTGGGTGTGATGGCTCACACCTGTAATCCTAACACTTTGGGAGGCCAAAGCAGGCAGTTTGCTTGAGCCCAGTTCAAGACCAGCCTGGGCAACATGAAAAAACCCTGTCTCTACAAAAAATTAGCTAGGCATGATGGTGCATGCCAGTAGTCCCGGATCACCTGAGCCCAGGAGGTGAGGACGGCAATGAGCTATGATTACACTACTGCAGGCCAACATGGGCAATCGAGTGAGTCCCTGTTTTGAAAAATAAAAGAAAGAAAGAAATACCTATAAAAGTGACCTTAGAACTGTACTACACTTTAGAATTATAAAGGCTTTCAAGTATAATATTTTAATATTGCTGATAAGTTTGAAAAGTAGATTTAATTATCTCTCTATGATAGATGAGGAATTCAGCACTGAAAAAAGCAATTTGATCAAGAACTCACAGTTAATAACTATGTATGCAAATCCAGATCTATTAAATCAAGATCCTCCAGGGTAAGGTCATGAAATACAAATTTCTATCTCTAATTTTAATTTCCAAGACAATTTATTTAGGCCTGTATAAATCAACGTTATGATTTTTTTCTTGAGAAATATTACCCCAAAATATCTTCTCCAAGAATTTTAACTAGGCAGTTGATGTTTAGCTTCTTGGAGATATCATTGATGCGTTTTGTTTTGTTTTGTTTTAATATCCTCTTACATGCCATGCCCAGAGAAAGTGTTTAAAAAGTATTTTTTAAAAGAGTGCGTGGGTAGAAGGATGAATGGATTGATGGATGGATGGATGGATGGATGGATGGATGGATAGTTGGATGCACTAATCAAGAATAAAGTGAATGAATGAATGAATGAACTTGGAATCATTTGTCTTTTCAATTATTGATGAGAAAATGTTGCAACATTTTTATTAGAGCCACTTATGTACCCATTTATTTAGTAAGCACTTTTATGCATTTATTATTTGCTCACTCTAATCAAGCATCGATAATTGAAAATATAAAACTGAAAATTACTTCTCTACTTACGTTCATCCAACTCATTTGATGTACTTAAAAGCCTGAAAGGACAAGTTGTTAAGCTTTTGATTTATTTAAGACTCAAAAACTTGGCGATAACCATCTTCAAAGTATTCAGTATGTCAGAGGCAGAGTTCAAGCTACTACTGCCTATAATAATTGACTTTTTTCCTACAAAAAGAAAAGCAGAAAAGCAATTTACTCTGCAATTTTTACAAGTTAAATATATAGATATTGCAAAAGCAAATTTTTACTGGGTGTACAAAAATTTTTGCTAAAGATGGATTGAGCCAGGAAGACTGTGGAAACCAAGAAAAACAAGCCTAACCAGCTTTTCTAGTACAAAAGAATTGAATTTAAAATGAGTCAGGTTTAACACTGTAAAACGATTCCTCAAAGTCCCTATTATAACTTTACATATATGAAACCATGTTTTATCTGCATTTAAAACTTTATCTGTATTATGGTCAACGTAGTCACAGTATAATGATTATATTTGAATAGCAACATTCCTGTGCCAAAAAATCAAAGTTAAGTTTTGGAAGTTCTGGAGGGATACACACAAAATGTAACAGTGGTTATCTGAGGAGGGTCAGAAAAGGGAATTAAGAAGACACAAAACTAACCCTGTCCTATACTTTTTAAATGTTTACCTTTATACAATAATCACATATTACATTTTAAACGTAAAAACACTTAAATTTTTGTTTATGTTTGGCTTCTGGAGTATGTGATAAATAATTCTTAGCAGGTTCTACTCTGCATTATGAAGTTATCCACTCATATTTATATTGATTCCTTTTAATTCAGTGTGGATGAAGATCTAAGCATTTGAATAAATATAATGATTCCAGAGATCAGATGTGTGTTTCTAATACACTGGAAGATGTGTGTTCTAATGATATTAGAAACATTACTGCCAGCCAAGGTTTCCAAACACACTCACAGTTTCCTCAAACTAGAACTGAAGAAATTAAAAGTTAAAGTCATTATTAGCATTCTAAGTTGGAAAGAAGTTTTGCAAACATGGCTATATATGTAATATATATTTATTACAGATTACTATTTAACTATGCTTCACCTGATCAAAGTCTACCACTCCATAATATAAAACACACATATTGCAAATTCACAGCATTCTATAAAGCAAGAGAGCATCTAAGATAATGGTTTAAATTGAAGATACTTCTTTATTTAACGCACATGTTTAACTAGGTTTAGAAAAGACCTTAGAAGTACAAAGAATTTATATTAATAAACTTGGCTTTATTATTTAGATCACTACAGAGAGGAATAAGGTGTACATTTTTAGAAGAGTATCAAAAAGTAGACTTTACAAATATACAGTTATTTTAAGATACTAATATTAAACTATATCTCATTTATCTAATAAGACTGAAGGATGAGGTGTTGCACATCAGTGATTTTTCAAACAGCCAGTTAGCCATTTCAAATGTCTTTTTAAAAATGACAAACTATTTAAACTGGATTTGATATTTTCTCACCCAGTGAGCAGAATATGGAGCAGAAGTTCGCTTTGTCCTGAGGCTGTGGATGTCCATTGTACTGGATGATGCTCTCCTTGATGGCTAAGGTTTCTAAGAGCTGTTTTACTCTCTTGCTGTCTCCTACCCATTGTTCCCAGCATATCTGCAACCCTCTTTTCGTTTTTCCTTCTAGGACACCCCACCCTAGAAACATAATAATAATTGAAAATGTCCAGTGAAAGCCTGATAAGCAAGCTTGTTTAATCTGTGAATTTACTTTTACACACAAACCTGAGTCAACAGATTCTGATATGAAGCTCTGATAACAGCTTCACTCCTCTCTAGTGGTGAGAATAGTACCTTTACTCCTTAGCTCAGTATGCTGCTTTTTGCTAAGTCCAGGCTGTACCTTGATCCAGGTGGATAAGAAGATAGAAAAATTGGTCGGCAAATCATAATCATAACAAAGTTTAAGTGACTTGCCTTCCAGTGAAAGCTGTAATCTCCAAGAGAGGCTCCCAATTAATAGCACCCCCTTACCTACCCGGTGGTGAGCAATTTGAGTAAGAAAGTAAGAATGGAAGTCATTATTAATTAAATTCAGCTGGAAGTGTAGACCTCTAAATGGGCCTACTGGCCAAACCAGAATTAGTAAGATTTGCCCATTCAATCCTAGGAGGCCCAATCTTAAGCAAGTCCTCACAATGGAGGCTGACCCCCAAGAGAAAGATGAAGCAATGCATGCTTCTGATGCCTTTCTAAATTTGCCAATCTCTCTCTCCTTTTTTTTCCCCAGTGGACAGGAAAAAATTATTTACTAAATGAGTAAATGTTTGTGTGAATGAATGAGCAAATTTGGTTCTTCCTGGTTAATGAGTGGCGAACTTAAAAAACATGGAATGCTTCACAATTTTGAGTGTCATCCCTTGCGAGGGGCCATGCTAATCTTCTCTATATCATTCCAGTTTTACAATATGTGCTGCCAAAGCGAGCACTAAACTTACCAATACCTCTCAGCTGCTGTTTACAGTCTACCCAGCTTTCAATTCCATATAACCAGCCTTCCCTTATTTCTTCATCTCTTCCTCCTTTAATTCCCTCAGGTGCCAGGATGGAGCTAATCATACTCATTTCAAGGCACAGTATCATCAAGGTCCATACCCAGCCCCTTTTTGTTTATTTATGTATATACTATTTATCTACCATCCCTGCTCTTTTTCCAACTATAGGCAACAGTTGTAATATGGCTTATATGCTTTCTTGAATTTGTATGCAACCTTGTAAAAAAAATTATTCTTGTTTGTCTATTTTAAAACCTTTGTCTATTTTAAAATATATAAGGGTTCCAATCTGCGCCTTACTTTTCTTACTCCACACCATGTTTTAAAGCTCTGTCTGTGCTATTACATGTACATCTAATTCATTGCTTCTAAAGGTGATATTGCTCTCCATGATGTACATCCACCACAGTTTACTTGCTCACTCCAAGTGATGGACATCCTAACTCCTTTACTTTCTATTCATGTCCTGTTATGACCCCAGAAGGGTAGTAGAGCTATGGGTACCTAATTTGACTGAGGACTGCAAAATCATGAGCTATACTAGCCTACATTCCCTCAAGCAAGGCAGGAGGGTTCCTGTGACCCAGCAACCCCACCAAATGTTGTATTATCCAACTTTCTATCTTTGCCATTCTTGTCAGTGTAAATTGGTATCTCATTGCACTGAAAATTCACATTTCTCTTATTACTACGAAGTTTTGACAGTGGTCGAGCATGGTGGCTCATGCCTATAATCTCAGAACTTTGGGAGGCCGAGATGGGCAGATCACAAGGTCAGGAGTTCAAGACCAGCCTGGCCAACATGGTGAAACCTTGTCTTTACTAAAAACACAAAAATTAACTTGGCATGGTGGTGCACACCTGAAATCCCAGCTACTCGGGAGGTTGAGACAGGAGAATTGCTTGAACCAGGACCCGGGAAGCAGAGGTTGCAGTGAACCGAGATCACACCATTGCGCTCTAGCCTAGGCTACAGAGTGAGACTCCATCTCAAAAAAAATAAAAGTTTTGACAGCCCTTTAAAATATTTTTTTTAATTTGAGATAATTTTTGATTCACATGTCGTTGTAAGAAGTTATACAGAGAGACCTAGTGAACACTCTTTACCCAATTTTTCCTACCAGTACCATCAACAAACAATTGTACAATATCACTACCAGGATGTTGATACTGATACAGTCAAGACACAACCATTTCCATGACCACTGGGATCCCTCATGTTGCCCTCTTATAGCCACACCACTTCCCCACTGCTGCCCCCACCCCTTAACACCTGGCAATCACCAATGTACTCTCCATTTCTAAAACTCTGTCATTTCAAAAGTGTTATATAAACAGAATCATATAGCATATAACGTTTTGTTATTGGTTTTTTTCACTCAGCACAATATGGAATGAATATGGCAATTTACTGAAGCTGATGTATGTACCAATAGCTTCTTGCTTTCTTTGCTGAGCAGTATTCCACTGTTTAACCACTAATTCATTCATTGAAAGATATCTGAATTGTTTACAGAATTTGGGTATTATGAATAAAGCTGCTATAAACACTTGCATACAGGTTTTTATGTGAATATGAGTATTTCTTTTTCTGTAATAAATGTTCATGAGTGCAATTGCCAGTTTGTATAGAATTGAATGTTTAGTATTTTAAGAAACTGCCAAATTATTTTCTGGAGCGGCTGTACCATTTTATAATCCCACCAGGAGTGAATGAGTGGTCAGTTTCTCTATGTCTTCACCAGTATTTGGTGTTGTTACCATTTTATTTTAGCCATTATAAGTTTACTGTTAACGTATAGTCTTAACTTGCACTTCTCCAAGCAATAATGATGCTCAGCATCTTTACATGTGCTTATTTACCATCTATATATCCTCTTATGTCATATGTTTCTTCATGTCTTTTTCCCATTTTCTAATGGGATTGCTCAGGCTTTTTACTGTTGAATATTGAGAGTTCTTTATATGCTCAAGATACAGGTCTTTTGTCAGATATGTGGTTGGAAAATATGTTTTCCACTCTATAACATGTTTTTTAATTCTCTTGGACAGTTTTGCAGAACAATTTTTTAAAATTTTTATGTAGTTCTATTTATTAATTTTTCCTTTTATGGATTGTGCATTTAAAATACCAAGTGTAGGAATTTCTACCTAGCCCTGGACACTGAAGATTTTCTCCCATGGTTTTTCTAAAATTTAGTAGTTTTAACCCTTAAGATACAATCCATTTTGAGTTAATTTTTGGATAAGTTGTGTTTGTTAAGGTTCTTGTTTCTGTTTTTGTTTTGCCTGTGGATGTCCAGTTGCTTCAGCACCATTTGTTGAAAAGCCTCTTTTGCGCTTCTTTCACAAATAAGTTGGTCATATTTGTATGTATCTATTTCTGGGTTCTTTGTTCTGTCCCACTAGTCTATGTGTCTTTCTACTAGTGCCATATTATGTAACTATATATTAAGGCTAGATATGGGAAAGACCTATTCCTCCCACTTTACTGGTCTTTTTAAAAATTGTTTTAGCTATTCTGGTTCCTTTGCCTTTCCATATATATTTTAAAATAATTTTATCTGTGTCTACAAAAATTTTTTTTGAGATTTTGATAGGAATTGCCTTAAACCTATATATCAATTTAGGCAAAATTGACATCTTCGCTACACGGAGATTTCCAGTTCATCAACACAGTATAATTCTCCATCTACTTTAGATCTTTTTTAGTTTCTTCCATTTGGTTTATTTCATCAGCTTTCTGTAGTTATCAGCATACAAGTCTTATACCCATTTTCATAGATTTACACCTAAATATTTTATGTTTTAAGCAGTTATAAACGGTCTTACATTTATACTCTTGACATTTACCTGTTTACTACTAGCATACAGAAATACAGTTTTTGTATGCTTACATTATATTCAGCAAACTTTCTGAGCACATTTATGTGGCCTAGAAATTCTTTGGTTGGTTCCTTGGAATTTTCTATATAATCAATAATATAATTTCCAAATAGAGATTCTTATTTTTTATTTCTTCCTTTTCATAAGTCTTTTTTCTTCTTTTTTGGCTTGTTTTTTTTTTTTCTTGCCTGCTTTGTTTTCATTTTTGCCTTACTGAACTGACTAGAACTTCCAGCACCATGTTGAATAAGAATGGTAAGAGGAGAAAACATCCTTACCTTGTCCCAATCTTAGGAAAAAAGCATCATGCTTTCACCATTAGGTATAATGTTAGCAGTAGGTTTTTTTGTGAATTTTTTAAAATCAAGTTGAGAACATTGCCCTTTATTTCTATTTTTCTGAAAGATTTTTCATTAGTGCCTACTGAATTTTGTCAAATGTCTGTCCTGCATCAATTGATATGACCATGTAAATTGTTTTCTTTAGTCTGCTGATATGGTGAATTACACTGATTAATTTTCAAATATTGAACCAGCCTTGCATCCCTGGAATAAACATAGATATGGTGTACATTTTTTTATATATTGCTGCATTCTATTTGCTAATATTTTATTAAGGATTTTTGTATATATAATCATGAGAAATATTGGCCTGAAAGCTGTTTGTTATGTTTTTTATTGCCTGTTTTGATATTTGAGTATAATCAGCTTTATAAAATGAAATGGAAAGTGTTCCCTCCTTTTCTGTAAGGGTTATGTATAATTGATGTTGATTCTTCTTTAAATATTTCGTAGAATTCTCCAGTGAAAACTTCTGGCCTACTGACTTCTTTTTGAAAGCTTTAAAATTATAAAGTCAATTTTCTTAATAGCTAAAGGGCTATTTATCTCTTTCACATTGGGTAAATTGTAGTAATTCTTGTTTTCCAAGGAAGTGACTCACTACATCTAAGTTGTCAAATTTATGTGTGTAGAGTTGTTTATAGTAATGTATTTCATCACTTTCCTGTTGATGTCTGCAAAATCTGTAATGATATCCCTTGTTTTATTCCTGGTACTGGTAATCTATATATTCTCTCTATTCTCTTTGTCAGTCTTGCTGAAGGTTTGTCAATTTTGTTGATCTTCTCAAAGATCCAAATCTATTTTACCTATTTTTTCTATTGCTTTCTGTCTTTAATTTCTTCCTTTTTTTTTTGAGACAGAGTCTCACTCTTGTCCCCCAGGCTGGAGTGCAGTGGCAAGATCTTGGCACACTACAACCTCCGCCTCCTGGGTTCAAGCGATTCTCCTGCCTCAGGTTCCTGAGTAGCTACGATTACAGGCACCTGCCACCATGCCCAGCTACTTTGTACTTTTAGTAGCAACGGGGTTTTGCCATGTTGGCCAGGCTGGTCTCAAACTCCTGACCTCAGGTGATCCAACTGCCTCAGTCCCCCAAAGTGCTAGGATTACAGGCGTTGAGCCACCGTACCTGGCCTTCTGTTTTTAATTTCATTGACTTCTGTTTTGTTTTGTTTTTGAAACAGAGTCTAGCTCTGTAGCCCAGGCTGGAGTGCAGTGGCATGATCCCAGTTCACTGCAACCTCCGCCTCTTGGGTCCCGGTTCAAGCAATTCTCCTGCCTCAGCCTCCAGAGTAGTTGGGATTACAAGCACGTGCTGCCATGCCCAGCTAATTTTTGTATTTTTAGTAGAGACAAGGTTTTGCCATGTTGGCCAGGCTGGTCTCAAACTTCTGACCTCAGGTGATCCAACTGCCTCAGCCCCTCAAAGTGCTGGGATTACAGGCGTGAGCCACTGCACCCTGCCAACTTCTGTTCCTATTTTTATTCTTCTTTCTGTTGGCTTTAGTTTTAGTTTGTTCTTCTTTTTTTAAGTTCTTGAAATATTTCTGCTATTGATTTCTAGTGTGATTCCATGGTGTTCAGAAAACACATTCTGTATGGCTTCAATTATTTTAAAGTAATTGAAGTTTGTTTTATGGCCCAGGATATGGTCTATGTAGGTATATGCACTGTGAGCACTTGAAAACAATATATGTTCTGCTG